TGTCGCATAGATTTTGCTCAAAAAGAAGCCTTAAATGTCATAACTTACCATAGCCCACTTCCAGAGAAAGGCTAGTGAAACAGCATGTAAATAGTTCTCACGTAGTGCCAAAAGCAATAAAAATTGTGTAACTGAAGATACATATTTGAATATATCTGGAAAACTACTTGAATTATAAGCCATTCCAAGGATGTTTTTTTTTAAAAAAAGCAATTGTATTTTAGTGAGCATACTGTAACTTCGTAAAAATGCACATTGGCATACTCTTTTCCAATTTTCTGCCTTTTAAGAAACAAGCCAACAGAATTAAAGCTTGCCCTTGAGGTCTGAAGCCGAAAGATTCTCAGGAATTCACTTTTCATATATCAAGTCAAAATTACTTTCCCTTCTATGTCTAAGCCACATTTCATTACACTGCCACCACAAAACCATCAGGCTCAATAGCTAACCTATTTGACAAAACAAACTAGTGGAAGATTAATGAACTAGAGCAGGAATGTACATTGGTTTCCCAGTTGAGCAAGTTATTGTAAATGGAATTGCAAAGACCCCAAGCAGCCATGCTTTTTGCTCATATGCCTTTCTTCGATGCTAAGTGCATGCCCAGATTCTGTGTCAAAAGCATTACTCAGAAGAGGCTAGACATATTAAATAGCCTGGCAACCCTTTCCTCAAGGGTCTCGTGTGATTCCTGAATAGATTGATTCTGGTCCCTTCTGCTGCAATATGATGTAATGGACAATGAGATTTAAAGCCACTCCATTCACAGGGGTTACACAGTCACATTTTCACCATAGTCCTAGCTCAACTGCTACACCACAGAACCATCCCGCTTTGAATTATGCTGTTGCAAAAGCTAGGGCTGAGTCTGATTTCAATCATCTTATTAGGACATGCTTGGTAGTTTCCATAATCATCCCGCTTTGAATTATGCTGTTGCAAAAACTAGGGCTGAGTCTGATTTCAGTCATCTTATTTGACAAGAAATTAGGACATGCTTGGTAGTTTCCATAAGAGACAGAGTAGCAGAAAACTAGCAGAGAACTAGCAGAAAATGTTGGTTTGTCATCTATCGCAGCTGAACGGGCAACCTTGCAACATGGCAGTTGCTTGCAGACCAATCGTATGGGCCTTATTGAGAGCAACCTATTTCTGAAGTATATGGGACTGTTCCTCTCCCTAGACCTTTGAGGAGCTTCAAGAGGAAAATTTTGTAGGCTATGGGAGGGAATAGTGTTGCTACTCACATGGTAAACTGGGCATAGTTTGCAATTTGGGGCTACATTTTTTTTCAGGGATTTGGGGATGGTTTCAGGAGGCCTGGGGGGTCTGTGGTCTCACTTGGTCCACCCCCGGGATAATCCAAGATGTTTTTTAATGTATAGAAACCACTTACCAGATACAGTCATGTGTCCTGTGCTTTGAATATCCTTGCCAGTTAGTGTCTGGAAGATATGAAATCAATGGATTTTGAACATTTTATCAAGGCTTTATATAGAGACAGGATAAGGCAGAGGAATAGCCAGAAGTGCACAAGCTTAGTGGACTGTGCCAAGAGTTAGGACTTTCATGCGAAGGCCTAGATATAAAAGAGTCAAAACCTGTAAGAGGCTCAGTTTTCCTGTGGGATCCAGTCAGAAGGGAACCTAGCACATCTAGGTACTGAGACATCTGAACTCTTTAAGAAGTGAAGGCTGTCAAGGACCAAATCCAAGCCCTCCAGGCATTCCCAAGACTCAATAATGCTGCCACCAGAAAGGTGTCTCAAAATAGGCAAAATCCACCCCCTCCACTCTGTCCTTGATAGATGAACACCAGCCCTTCAAGGTAGGATTGACCAAAGACAAAAACAGCCTGACACATTTGTGTAGCCAAGAATAACTGAATTCAGAACCAAGCCCAGCCACCTGATCAAGAAGCACACCAGGTTCAGATTTTCTCTCTTTATTAAAAGAAAAGAATAAACCAAACTTTAGATGAATAAAAAAAAATAAAGTATAAAAATACTTTGGAATCGAAATAGCCAATTGAAGTAGCACACAATCACTCACACAATAAACAAGAACAGTATCTTACCCTACCTGTTGCGCTAAACCAAACTTTAGATGAATAGCTGTACTGCAGCCAAAACTGTGCTCACGACCTGGGGTTCAATCCCAGGTAGCCGGCTCAAGGTTGACTCAGCCTTCTATCCTTCCGAGGTCAGTAAAATGAGTGCCCAGCTTGAAGGGTGGGCCAATGTGTAGCCTGCATAATTAACTTGTAAACCGCCCAGAGAGTGCTTGAAGCACTATGGGGCGGTATATAAGCAGCACGCTTTGCCTTAAGATAACATGGAAAAATATCCAGAATAGGACAGCATGATGTCTGAGCCACTGCAAAGTTCTTACTACAGCATGTCATGTTGTATAAGACAGTGATCACAGATCTTGCCAGACCAGATCACCTAGAGAATTTATTAAACTTAACTTTATGAAAGAATGGGACTATTCACTGATCCTCATTAAGTAAAGGTTCCCATTGACATTTAGTCAGTCGTGTCCGACTCTAGGGGGCGGTGCTCATCCCCGTTTCCAAGCCCTAGAGCCAGCGTTTGTCCGAAGACAGTTTCCATTGTCACGTGGCCAGCGCGGCTATACACGGAACGCTGTTTACCTTCCCACTGAGGTGGTACCTATTTGTCTACTCGCATTTGCATGCTTTCGAACTTCTAGGTTGGCGAGGAGCTGGGACAAAGCAACGGGAGCTCACTCCATCGCGTGGATTCGATCTTACGACTGCTGGTCTTCTGACCCTGCAGCACACAAAGGCTTCTGCGGTTTAGCCCACAGCGCCACCACGACCCTCATTAGCTAATCAATTTAAGTGTTCTAGCAAACCTTCTAGCAACATGAGGTCAACTGCATAGTCTATTTCCCAGGTGTAATTAGCATAATTTACAGCTTGACTTTGACATGAAACCTGAGCCTTAAATGTCCAGAATCATCTCTATCTTCCCCAGATGGCTCTATCTGCCTCGGTCTGTGCAACTCAACCATTCTTCCCCCTTCCTGGCTCTACAGGGCAACAATTCAGCACAAGGTTTTTTTCTAGAGCTCATTTCTGTAACCCTTCACAAAGACTGCTGTGAAAATGCAAGACGTCACAACCTGGGGGGAAGAGAGGATGAAGACGAAGTCAAAGATTAAAAGAGCACAGTGAAAATTATGGGAAGAGGAGATGAAACATGAGATGAAAACGATGTTGGAGTTGTAGCAGTTAGCAAAGACCACTCCTTATGTTCCTAATGATGACTTGCAAGTGTTTTCATCTTGCCACAAACACCATAAAACTACAGTACTCATGTCAGACAGCTGAGAACATAGTAGTGGGATCTAGCCAAGGTGGGCTTGGCAGAATAATGCAGCATACTACTTCATCGGCTGAAATCCTGTTGCTTTACTGTAGCAAGTTGCACTACAGCAGGGCTGCTGAATCCATGGGGCTTTGGTAAATCAACTCATCCATGAGTTTGGCTGATTCAAATGGGCCTTCTCTAGTGCATCTTACTATACTAAGCAACATAATCTCAGCCATTGGAATGCTGTAACTGAGTACAAGGATGTATAAGAGGTTGGGGCCCAACATTTTTAGAACTTCAAAGCCTTACAATCCCCATTTTTGGATTTAAAATGTGATTGGGTTTACACTGGTGGCTTCACAGAAGAAACAGGTTGCAGGAACTAAGACTTACTGTACTCACTCAGGGGAATTTGATTTACTTGATAAAATTAGACTATTTTCATTACTAAATACTAGAAAAACATGAATCAAATACATGAATCCTAGGAACATCTTCCAGGCAATGGAAACTGGCTGTTTCATTTGCATAACATTTCTACATGTAAGTCTCCTAAATTTGACAGAATAAACAAATGAGTGCAGGATGTGGCAAGGAGAAACTCTTTATCAAAACTGGAAATGCATGCCAAAGATGTATCAAGTTGTTTTTACTCAGAAGGATGAGCAATCAAATGTTATATTCTTCCTATAAGAGTCTTCAGGGCTAAGAAATGTACAAAGATGCTATTTTAAATACTTAAGTCATTTTCAGTGTCCATTTACCATAATCTAGTGAAATCTGTGCATATACAATGTGAAGAAAACACATGAAGTCTGAAGGCCACTAACTCTGAAATTAATATTTCTTGCACTTCTTAATAGATCATCTATTTTGTAAATAGACATGTCTATGAAGCAAACATGTCTATTTACAAAACTATCACAATCATTTGGTAAGTTATAAATGTTTTAGAAAAGCAAGATGATGTAAACTCACTCCATGTCTCTTGTCAAGATTAGCCATGGCCATTGTTTTTCTTTAACATATACCCCTAAGATTCTATCTATCTATCTATCTATCTATCTATCTATCTATCTATCTATCTATCTATCTATCTATCTATCTATCTA